CCTCCTACTACGATATTCCTACGTCACTATTCAGCGGCAAGAATTAAGGAGGAATTAGGATCGGGGTAGGGTGTAGGGCACTACACAGGGGTTTGACAAGCCCTTTTCAAGCATCCAAACTAGTTTTGTTGGAACAAATTTCACATGAGATTGACCGGGATTCGACGGGAACAAAAACGTCTAGTTTTCAAATGTCGCTAATCTCGCGCTTTTTTTAAATTTTATCTTTATTTATTTATTTATCTTTAACTTCTACTCATCTTTCCACTATATACAGTTAAAATGACGGGAAGGAATTCTGGAACTCAAGAAAGCGTGACATATTATCTTCCCCCATACGTCACACCAGTTTTTACTGTTTTTTGACTAAACAAATAAAAAAATTGACAGAAATCGAACCCGGGTCTCCATGGTGAAAGGCGAGCGACTTCGCTCTGAGCCACCAGACGTATTTTTTGTTGAATATTTCAGAAGTTATATAATTATAAGGAGTGATTTAATAAATAAAGGAATTATTTATTTATCAGCAGTTATTTAAGTTTATCTTTCACGAGGCATCACTACACAATGCTGCGACATGACAGTTTGCAAAATTATTCCCAGAATTTCATTCTTGGACGGCAACATGGCTGAGATAGCGATAGGGTAAGGAGACTTCACTTACTTCACGGTAATGGTACAATATCTCTACGTTCAATAAAATAATATATTCAACTATATAAAATCGGAACAAATAATACAAAATTGTTGTATGATAGAGAAAGGGCGCCACCTTGCGAGCGCGCCAAAAACTATCGCGACGGCCTGACTGCAGGCCATTCGACAGACAGACGCTGGAGGCCGGACACGCGGTGACGAACGTGCTACGCTCGTCTCCTACTTATACAGTGTATTCCAAAGTTCGTTAAATAAACGCCATTCCGATTGAATATTGTTTATCGTTATTCTTACAACATGGTGGCAGCGAAAAAAATGTGAATTTACCAGTGGAAGCAACTAGAACGCGAAAATGGCACAAGACGGGGCAGCTAACCTGCGAACGGCAACGGCGGCGACGTCGTCGTCGTACAACATCGCAGCACCTGATCCGTTCGATTTCAACGCTCCTGGAGATTGGCCGAAATGGAAAAAGAGGTTCGAGAGGTTTCGAATGGCTTCAAAACTAAAAGAGGTCTCACAAGATGAACAGGTAAATACGTTGATCTATGTGATGGGGGAATTGCTGATGAGGCTATGTTAACTTTCGGTCTGACGAATAATGAAGAGAAGCAGTACGAAACTGTGATTCAGAAATTTGACAATGTCTTCGCACCAAAAACTAACGTAATTTATGAAAGTGCCCGCTTTCATACTCGTGTCCAAAATCTCGGGGAATCGGCGAGTGATTTCATTACTTCGTTACATAACCTCGCCAGAAATTGCAACTATGGTAATTTGAAGGACGAGTTTATTCGCGATAGAATTGTGGTAAGTGTCGCAGACAAGAAACTCAGCAAGCGAATGTAATTAGACGACACTCTAACCCTCGATAAAGCCGTAAAGATGATAACACAATCTGAGGAGGTTAGAAAGCAAGTCGAAAGCCTTCAACAACCTACTGTAAATCGAATCGTAACTCATAAAAGAAACGGCAGTAACACTAAATTCACAGGCCGTGAGAAGAAATCTGTTAATAAGCAAAACGAGAACTCTGATACTAGACCTAACCTCAATTCCAGCCAGACGAATAACTGCCAATGGTGTGGCCGTGAAAAGCACGAGCGTAAATCATGTCCGGTCAAAAACGCTATTTGTTACAAATGCGAGAACAAAGGCCATTTCTCTAATTGCTGCAGATCCAAGGAAAATGTGTGCACGATAACTGACGATAACGTAGAGCTAGACGTGCTACACATTGATGCTATTGACGAGAGCGGGAATCCTAACGACGAATGGATGGAGATGATACAAGTTAACGTGAAGAATATCATGTTCAAAATCGACACAGGTAGTGACGTCACAGCCTTCTCAACAAAGTATGCCGGAGACAATATGGAATAAACCTGCAGGGAAGGTAACAGATCCACATAAAACAGAGTCGAAAGTCCAAGTAACTGAGCAGGCCACGTTAAACTACATGGATAGGACTCTACATGGAGATATCTACTACATCCATACCCATCATTAGCCGCTATTGGGGAAATACAATGCAATCAAACTAGGATTGGTGAAGAGGATCGACGCGGTCATTAACGATCGCACTGTTTCACTGGATGATGTAAAGTCGAAATTTCCCGAGTTATTTGATGGTATCGGGAAAATCCCTAGGAAGTGCAAATTGATGAAATCCGATGCAAAACCGATCGCGGTGACTTCTCCTAGATGGATCGCCATTCCCCTCAACGATCAGGTCGAGAAAGTTCTGCAGAAGATGCTGAAGGAAGAAATAATTTCACCACTCCGAGGATTTGCGTCGACCTGGAGCTGAACATAGCCATACAAAGGAAGTATCATCCTATCCCAGATGTCCACAACACTCTGAATCGAATCAAGGACGCTAAGTACTTTTCGAAATTGGACGCAGCCTCAGGTTTCTATCAGATGATTTTAGAAGAAGAATCTCGTCTACTCACCACGTTTATAACACCTTTTGGAAGATTTTGTTTCAGCCGTCTACCTTTCGGAATAACAGTGCTCCAGAACGTTTTCAAAAGAAAATGCAGGAAGTGTTGAAAGACTGCGATGGTTTCGTCTGTCTGATGGATGACATTCTGGTTTACGGGTCTAGCAGAGAAGAGCACAATAGGCGACTGGAAAAACTACTCTCCAACTGGAAGAAGCCTTTGCAAAAGTGAAGTCTATGTCGACCGCGTTCTGGCACCATTCGACCCGAGAAGAAAAAATTTAGTGACGGCGGATGCGTCCTCGTAAGGAATTGGAGGGCCGCTGCTACAGATTTTGGAAGATGGAAGCATTAAACCCATCGCCATACTTCAAAATTACTATCGGACACTGAGAAATGCTACGCACAAATTGAGAAGGAGGCCCTAGCGATTACTTCCGCCTGAGGAAAAATTTTCAAACTACATTACCAGCATCGAGATTGAGATTGAAACCAATCATAAACCCCTTTTCCCGATCCTTCCCACTAAGACGCTAGACAATCTATCTCCCAGACTCCAAAGGTATCGTCACCGTCTCATGCGTTTCGATTACACTGTTGTACATATTCCAGGTAAAGACTTGGAAACAGCTGATACCCTATCTAGGCAACAAATACACCTCATTGCGCAGGATGAACTTCTGGAAACCACATATTCTCACGTGGTTGACATGATTACACATCTCCCAGTGTCATCTGTGAAACGTCGGAAATTGTCAAGGAACAGAAGGAAGATTCTCAACAATCGGCGGTACGTGTCTACATCTGCAAAGGATGGCCCACGAGAGAAACTTTTCCGGACAACTTGAAGTCGTTTTGGGAGAAGAGATGGGACATCACGTGCCAAAACGACCTCTTGCCGTAAGAATAGAGAATAATAATACCAAGTAAACAACGAGCCAGTATGTTGGATAGGATACACGAGGGACATTTAGGTATCACGAAATGCAGAGCACATGCAAATCATACTCTTTGGTGGCCCGGAATGTCAAAACAAATTCGAGAGAAGGTAGACAATTGAGCTGTCTGAGCACAATATCGCTAGTTATGCATAAGATGGGCATTACGTAAGAACACTGTAGTTTCGTACTACTAGTACAAATGCATTCGTATTAATGCGATATATTTAATGGCCTTCAATTCTGGATGTTTAATTTATACGTGAAATTATCCTTTCTTGATTGTATAATGTGCTGCAAATATTGTAATAGTTGAGATTTATTCATGTTTATTTCTTTTGTAGAAGTAAGAAGTACTGTAATATCGACATAATAGAATCCGCAGGCGCTTCATTTGAATTGGTTGGGCTTTTCCACGTAATGGGTAGAGTGAGGGCAGAAATGGCAATATTACAATATTACGGAATCTTTCCCAATATAGCTAGAAGATATGAGTTGTTTTAGCCCCTCTAATTACGCGAGTAAATGTACAATAGCGTATAGTGCAGCGCCTTCTCATACGAGATGAAACGGGAAGTTCTGAATTGCAAGAGTCCCCGGAAAAGCGAAACATCCCACAAATGTATAAGATTGACCCCAAAGACGTTTTACAAAAAACTTCTGCTTACAAAAAACAAATTTTTAAACCATTGTTTTAAAAGTGTAAATAGTTTTACCCTGGAACCCAACTTTCAGCATGGCAATCCATGCTATGGATTGATGGAGCTCTCAACAAATGTAAAAGGATATCCAAAAAATTCTTATATGTTTATAACGGTATAAAAATCTTAACTTGTCCCGCACAAAAAGACTGCTTTTTAGGATGCATCTTTTCCGAGTTATCGATGATCAACTGGGTTACGGCGTATTGTGTTTTGCGGCTTGCATGTGCGCCTGATAATCCAAATACAAATGCACTGAAATGCACCTGGTAATGGACGAAATTTTATGTACATATATTCCGCCTTAAATCTGACTGATGCACGCCGGTGGTATCCATGGTTTCGTATCAAAGAGAATAATTCAACGAATCATATAGAGAGGACTATTTGTGACGAAAAGTGACTTATTTTTATTTTGATTACTAGTTTATGGCGAAAATTTAACTCGTGTCGCAAAAGCAATGTGCCAGCTTGATGAAAAGAACAATTGATTTCAAAATTCCTTATTAGCCTCCTGGAACGGAAATCGATGCTCTGTGAATTTAAATACCAAGACGAGCAACGCTTTCATTGGCCTGCTGAAATTATTTGATATTCAATTGTCCGATCCAATAAGGTGTAATAGATGTATTGTGATTGTATATAATTCAAGCTCGTTGGGTGACAGGGTGATGACAATTGAAAACAATAACGATGTTCACTTGTTTCTTCGTTCCCGCGAGTTTCATAAGGATCTTGTAAGAATTACTTTAAACAATAATGTGTGAAAAATCAAGAAGAAAATTTGTAAGATCGTTACAATTTGATAACGATTCTAGTGATAGTGAACCACAGATCGAAAAGAAAATGGTACATGTAGTTGAACCAAGGAAAAAGAAAAGAAAATATGTAGAAGGCAGTGTTGATGATGATGTAGATAACCATGAATTGGAAACGAAATCGAAGGACGATCATGTTTCTACTGAATTATTTCAAACAGATTGCTCAGATCCCACTGCAAGTGAGAAAAAGAGATATTTTGATACATTTACTACAGGTAATATTGTTAATTATTTCAAGATTTTATACTTGCATTAATGTTGTTAGTAATATATTTTTTAAATGTTCTGTAAAAGTAATATTTTGATTGCCTTTCCAAAAGGAATAATGTTAAAGTAATTCTTGTACCCACAAAATTTTGCATACAAATTGGCTGGAACTTTGGTACACATGTGTAATAACTATTAATTTTGGGTCGCTATAAAATACACACATTTAAAAATATTAAAGAGGCACTCTCCTCTCTGTAAAATCATCAATTACATCTTCAAAACTTATGTTTCAGCAGTATAATTAGTTATCATGAAAATAAGATACATTTTCAAAATTATTTCCACTGTAGGGAAAGCATTCCGGCCTTTCTTTTGTGTTATTGGATTCTTATTACATGTCATTCAAAAATATGCTATTTGAAGATTAAATAAAACAATATAAATATAAAATTGAAAACAAAAGTACAAAATATATCAGTTTGTTATGTAACAAATAAAATTAAAATATGGGAGTACAAATGTGGTTTTCACATGACAAAAATATTTGAATTTGATTTACATAGTATGACTCTTGATAAAACCCACAATTTTTCCCCCATGTTTTGTATTTGCTGGAGGCCCCTGGGTCTCCACCCACCTTTCCCACCATTAAATCCTGCCCTGATTTCAATATAGAAATTCAATGTGAAATTATAGAAATACTTTCAGTATAATTTGGTTTGAAGAATCAGACTTCCTCAAATATATTTTGTATTTGAATTCTCAACATTTCTGTCTAATTACTATCTATGTACATATATTTGATCCCGTCAATTCAGTTTCAAGAAAAAGTTTTGACTTTTCTGAACAATCAGTTACAAACATTTTGTTTCAGAGGCCAAGAAAGCATTTAAATGTAAAGTTAAAAATCTTCAAACATTCTATTCAAATCAACAGAACAAATGCAATGAGATGATTGCCAATGTGGGATATATTAATGCAGAATGCATCGAATTCATAGACAACTCTAGAGCAAAGGTGAGATTCTTAGCAGAATGTTTAATAAGCCATTATTATTTATTGTATTATTAGATTGTATCTTAATGTTCTATCTCAGCTTCTGACTCCACCGTGAACATATTTTTCATCCACTTTTCCGTAATCTTTGAGAACATGCTACGATGGCCTCCTATGTTGCTTCTGAACATAAATGTAATTCCACTATCTGTGCACCATGTCTTGAGGTCAGCAGGGAATACTGTTTTTCAAGTGATTGTTCTTCATGTTCTCGCAGCAGCAAGTTGATTTCTTCATGTAGGGCATAATGAAGAGTTAATTGCCATAATCTGTAGCTGATTTGCTTTTTATTATTGCATTGGAGTTAATATTTGCTTATTAATTCTTGCCAAAAACACTTCTTGTTACCTATATTCATTAAACTTAATTTGTATATGAATTAGGGTAGGAATCCCAGAACTCAAAAAAATGTGTACTGATTTCACTTTTCCCCATAGTAAATCACACACAGTTTTGAACTGTCTTGATGTGTTAAATAAGTAAATAAATAAAGAGTACTCACAAACAAGTTAAATATTTCACAAAAGTTGTATATTTATGTGAAAAACATTCACATTTATTTGCAAATGTAATAATTTGGAATTTGTAAAAGATCGGCTTCATTTCTGGTTCTTTTCTTCTTTCTCTCTATGGTCAACCACTACATTGCAGTTCCATGATAAAATCATTGATCCTTCCATCTTACATCTCCCAACTGACCTGTTTTTTATAGGGTGCATCTTTGGGTATTCTCTTTTGATGTATTCTGTTGACCTGTGTGTCCATGTCTTTCTGCCCTCTTTTCTTATATTCTCGTATACGCAATACACAGAAAGTTATGTAATGCTACAAAAAAATCAGTGTCATGATTTTGACATATTTATGTCATATACAATTCTTTTTAAATACAATATTTTAAATATTTTTGCAAAATTTTAAATAAAATAGTGACAGTTTTAAAGACAATTTTCTCAAAAACAATTCCACATGTTTTCTCTAATTTTTTGGCTGAAATAAAGTGGTGTTGAATAATAATATGGTAATAATAAGTTCAACATTCAATAAAAGTCTAGAAAGTCTAAAATTTCAAAAGATTGAAATCTGTGCTTCACCTTCAATATTAAAGTTAGAGTTTTTTTTATGAAGCAATCTATTTCTCATTATATGATCTTAAATTATTTAATATAAATGGTTTTGAAAATATGAGTTGGTTTTGAATAATTTAAAGGTATTTGGTAACCAAATTTATTTTTTTTGTGAACCTGTCCTACATCCTTAACTGTTCTCATATACCTGTCTGAAAGACCCCAGAAGGAACTTTGTGATTGTTTTCTCGAAAACTATGATGTACTCAGGATTCCTGTTCTATGCTAATTAAGTTAGTTGTTTTGTGGAATATTTTGAAGTTCCATTTTGCCATTTATGTAATTATTTATTATGGTCAATAAACCTGGAAACAGAGATGTTCAATTTGCCCAGCAAAAATGACAGAAAAAAAAATTGGATCTGTACAATTTGTGATCATTGAAAACAATTTGTCCAATGACTACATGATTACTTTTAGTAGTATCCACAAAGGTTTATTTACAATCAAAATGGGGTTGCTGTATTATTTAATAACATCATTGTCATTGCAAAATTTCTTGCAAAGTTTCACATGCCAGGTGCACATGCATCTTAAGGTAGACCTTCAATTCATGAGACCAATGATTACTCACAATTTCAAACATAACTAAATATATGGATATGGAATAAATTATAGAATGATAATATGGAAGGGGAAATAAATAATATTCAGTAGATACACACAATAATATTCAGTATGGTCTGTGGACCCTAGCAGGTATGATGGCAAACTATGAAAGTAGTGTGATAAAGATTGTTTATCTTAATGCGATATATTTTCCAATATTAGATCTTTAGATGATTTCATGTTTACTTTTTCAATATATTACGAGTATTTTTTACATAATGTTGAGTATTATCATTAGCATTTTTGAAGTGATGACTAAAGAGTTAGTAGGATAGAAGGTGCTGAATAATAGTATTACATACCTATTACAATTAATGAATCTGCGATTTGGTATCACCACTGTTTTAACTCTTATCTCTGCAAAATATTGACACATGTTATACATTTAATTTTTCAACAAAACCAATAAGATATTATTTTTTGTTGTTTTTGTGTGTAAAAACATCTTGACATTTGCAATTTGCAATGAAAAAACAAAAAAAATTTAATTTCTTGCACTTCGTGAGAAGAAAAAAAATGTAATTGTGCATCAATATCGGCCAATTTTTGGTAGTAAAATTTTTACTCTTATCGAGTGACGGCGAAAACGCTAGTCCTTCCCCAGCCGATTTTCTCCACAATTGATATTCCGTGGTCGATCTGAACGAACTTGATGCTTTGGGAAACTGATATTTCAATTTATGAGGAAACTTACCATGAAGCCTCAAAAACATTTTCAAAATAATCTCAAAAACAGCTCAAAATTGTTTTGATTACTTTGTCCTCGGCTAGCGTAAATGTCGCCGCCTCGTTGAAAACCCTGATTTTTTCGAAAAATGTACTTTTTTGAGGAGGGGTCTTCTTACAATTATTGAAGGTAGAGATTTTTTCGTAATTAAATCTGATCTTTAAAGACAGAATAAGGTCTCGTTCAAAATATTAGTAGTCTTCGTGAAATTTTCGGCGGAATACGAGTACCGGTATAAACAATTTTTAATTTTTTAAACTTTTTTCTCAAAAATTGCTCTAACATTTTCTGTAAAATTTCTCCTCGTATGTATCACTGACCGGCAAAAAATTTTGTGCTTGTCCCATTTTCGGCAAACTCTCCGTACTTTCAAAAATTCCAAAACATTTCAAAACTAAAAAAATGAGGACAGATATTTTTGCCTCGGACAAAGTTTATTGTAAAGAATCAGCTCTTTCTCTCTCACAGAACTTTTTTTTTTTAAAAAAAGAACAATAGTTTTCGCGGATGTTGTGTTTGAAAATAATGCAATTAAAAAACCCTTTTTTCTAAAAACACTTCAAATACTTTCTTCAATTTTTTTGATACAGATAGAACAAAGAACCATTAAAAGAATGGCGCTTCCCTCATTTTCATTGAATTCTGAATTTTCGAAAATTGCAAATTAAGAATGCGAAAAAGTATGTGCTGTTGTAGCTTCACTAGTTTTGAATTTGCTACCACAATAGTAACACCTCCCTTAGCTCAATTCCTATCTCTACTGGTCTTTTGGAGAGCTCAACAAAACGTGCGCGTAATGAAGCTACATTTAGTCCGAAAGCAAAATAAAGCGCCATCTAAGGGAATGGGGATTAGTGAAACCCTGATCGAGATGAGGGTCATTGAACCGGAAGCTGAGGTACATTACTGTTTCAGACATACTAAATCTTTTCTTAAAATTATACAATACAAAAGTCAACTAATGCATTACGTATCTTCGTTAAAAAATCTTAAACATTTTACTTTTTGATGGTCAATATAGTCTCTAATTGTTTAGAAACACTTATGCAGCAGAAACGATTTCAATGAGAGAATTACATTCCAGGACGTTGTACAGTCGCCTCTGGTTATTCTGAACTAGGATATACTGACCCTCTGTTATAGTATTTGCACTTGTTTCCCAGCGTTTGTAGTGTTACTGCGTTGTAAAATGTATATGCCACGTAACCTTTCATTGTTGCTTTAATGCTGCGCTGGCAACTACACGCTATAGTGAAAACCGCAGCCGCCGCCAGTGGATCTTATTTTTTATTAACTTTTAAATTTTGTACTTTCTCGGGTACTGATTACGCAGAATATTGAAAGGCTAAAATACATATCGGGTATGTTCTTGAATACTCTGAATTCAGAAATATATTTTCATTTAATCTTTTGACTAAAAAAATTATTTTTTGCGCTTCGTTTATTTACGAAATAAATGATATTTGAAGAGTAAGAAAGGCGGAAATTGTTACTTTACAGTGCGAGAAAATACGCGCTGTTTTAGAACTTCTAGTTTTCCTTTATAGACATGACCCACTCCTTATTGTTTATTTATTTTCGTCAAAAACAGTTAAAACTGTGTGCGACGTGCTATGGGACCTTGTATTGAAGTTACTTCTGTCTAGAAGCAAAACAAGGAGGCATCTCATCATCAGGGAAACTGGACGAAAACCGGATCGAGATGGGGGTCATTGACCCAAAAGCTGAAGTACATACTTGTTACAGGTTCTTTAGAATTATACAATCCAAATGGTAAAGAATACAATAGATGTCGTTGTTAAAATTAATATTACTTTCCTTTTGGATCCCCGGTTTAGTCTCTAATTGTTCGTATAAAAACAGTTGTGTAGCAGAAAAGATTTTACTAGGGACTCAAACTTTTATATCGAATTTAGTCGTTTAATGCCATCTGGAAAGGTGTTGTAAAATAATGTACATGTTTTGTGTGTGAATTTTTTGTAGTGAGCTGTTGATACTGTCACTTGATGAATATGATTACTTTGTCGAGTGTTGTAGTTATAGATAACAGCGTTTGCTGAAAATATTTCCCGCCTTTTAGTAAGTCGTTTTTAACAAAAACCCCTGATTCATAGATGAAGATGCATGATAAGGGTAAGATACCTAGATTAGTAAAGAGAGGCTTACAAGGATCACGTAGGTGGGATTTGCTTATTATTCGTATAATTCTTTTTTGTAATATAAAAGTCTGGGAGCTGTAAGATGTATTTCCCCAGAATATTATGCGATATCTCGGGCGAGAATGAACATTCGCGAAATATACACAACGAGCAGTATGGAGGCAGACTAAATTTGAAAGAATTCTGAAAGCGTAGCGAAAAGAACTTAGGTGTTCAATTAATTTAAATGGACAATTGTTGTGAACACACAATGCCCCGGTTTCGTCCGCATTGAAGATTTTACCCAGGC